ACTTAACTACGTGTACGAAAAAAATTATCATTTTACATGTTTGTATATTAATTGGCTAAAAGCTTTAATTTTGTCGGAATCGTTTTTATAAGCAAGTTGTAATATGCATTTTACGTCACTGAACTACTACGATGTTAGATATTACCCTATTTTTTATACAATCTCAATTTTTCGCACGGTCTGAGCCAAAGTTTGCGCACACTTCATACATAGCCCATAAGTGAAAACTCAGCCTAAGCAAAAATCAAAAGACCGCTGAAATGTATCGTACTTTATAGGGTATCGATAATGATAAAACTACACCACTACTTCCGTGAATGGAAAATTTATTAATGGACCGCGTTGTACGCATGTGCTATTGTGTTTACTATTTGTTTTGTTATTACTTAAGTATGCGCGGTGTGCTATTGGAACTGCGCGATGCAGTTATCCATTCGAGCGTTAGTGCTAAAATTAATAAATCGCATCCAAAAAACAAGAAAATGCGTGTAAAAACAAAATATGTGGTAGCAGTGAGAAGGGATATGAAAAGTTAGCGATTTTTAATTTGTGCGAAAAGTGCTGTTTTCATTGGAAATATCCTCAAATGGGCTTTGGTAGCCCATTGTTGAACAATAAAATGAGAAGCGAAACATTCGCACCAATCGTACAAACAAATAGTTAATAAAACAAAATAAGTGGTAGCAGTAGCTACATACATACGTTTCGCCTTGATATCCTGCATATTAGTTGGTTCATATTCGCCACTATGCGATTCCACTCTGGATGGATCGCAGCCACTCTAACGAAACCCAGTGTTGATTGTTTTTCCATTCTCAAGCAATGAAGTGAATCAAGAAAAAGTGTTTATTACATGATGTGTAATAACGTGTTGTACCTCAATCAAAATGCAAAGGTTGAAGCCTTTTGCATCTATGAAAATGATCCCGTGTACGTTTGAGGTAAATTGTTTGGAGAAGGAGGTTTGGCCGAAGATAGTGGTTAATTTGTGCCCTTAAATGATACCTCAAAAACGACAAGTAGCATATTTGGTCACCAGAAGTGGTCAACTTAGATACGAAGGAACACCACTACGGATTCACATGAAGTGAAAAAGAGGTAAGTGTGGCTTTTATTTCTTGTCTATCGATATATAGCTGGGGAAGCTTTTATGAGTATAGTGCGAAAATGTTCAAACTAAAACGCTTATCAGCTAGCTTGTTGAAAATAACAATGGTCGAAGATGGCGATTTTCGTCCTATTCAAAATTTGTCCGGCACTTCGAGCATTTACGTAACCTTTTAGCAAAAAATTGGTTGATTCCAAAATTTCGTTAAAAACGGTTAAAAAAAAAAATAAATGAATTTTTACTCGTTTTCCGCTTGTATCTTTCAAAAAAAAAAAATATCGAAATAAATAATAAACGTCAAAGGGAGTTAAAAAAAAAGCTAAGGGTTAGTAGCTGTATATATTAGTTTTACTATTTTAATATTTGTTGGCTCAAAAAACATGTAAAGCGCCAGTGAAATTGCTCAAGACGGACAAGTTCGTCTTAAGGCGAATTATATACTATCGGAACCTTAACGTACGGTTAATTTCCAACTGAATTTCTGAAGATAAGCTGTTTTTAACTATGAAAAATCTTCTCAAAATGAAAATCGTGCCCTAGAGGGTTAAACTCAACTTCAGTTACATGTCTCTACTGAAACTTAACTGAAAATGATATTGTTGCCTTTTGTGCCTCCCGTCTCCGTCGTATGTGGTGGCAGCAAAATAAGCTTGACAAGCGGTCTTGTCATAGTACCTTTTACCGTCATAATATCCACAACACGTACTTTATTATCCGCACCTGGATGCAAGTTGACCACCCTACCTAATCTCCATTCGTTAGGAGGAAGATTGTCTTCTTTAATGACCACCATGTCTTCATGTTGACCTTAGGATGTTTCCACTTTGTACGCTTCTGTAGTTCGTTAAGGTATTCTGTTTTCCAACGCCTGCAGAAGTTTTGGTGTAGGGATTTTAATTTCTGCCAACGATTAACGATCGAGGCAGGGTTTTCGTTAATATCCAGTTCTGGTGGTGCCAGAAGATGTCCACCGACTAAGAAATGGCCTGGAGTTAAAGGCTCAAGGTCAGATGGCTCATTCGACGCTGGACTTAGTGGACGCGAGTTGAGGCAGGATTCAACTCGACAAAGAAGTGTATTGAATTCCTCAAATGTATACTTTGAACTGGATGCTATCTTTTTAAAATGGCTTTTGAAGCTTTTCACACCAGCCTCCCAAAGACCCCCATGTGGGGAGCGGAAGCAGGTATGAAATGCCATGTTAAAGATTGGTGAGCATATTTCGAAAGTGTTTGCTTTCGCGTGTCGGAGAGAAAGGCCTTAAGTTCCGATTTTGGGGCTCGCGATGCTCCAACGAAATTTGTGCCATTGTCTGAGTAGACATTTTTTGGGCACCCTCTTCTGGATACAAATCTGGAAAATGCTGCAAGGAAAGATTGGGTACTTAAATCGCTTGTAGCCTCTAAATGAATGGCTTTAGTGGAAAAGCAGACCATGAGACAGACATAACCCTTCGAGTTTCGGCATCCGCGGCCACGATAGCTTTTTATTTCGAATGGCCCAGCAAAATCTGTCACTGTGTTAGTAAATGGTCGAGAGAAAGTTGTTCGCTCTTCTGGAAGAATCCCCATAAGTTGGCTTTGCGAACGTTTTTTATAAATTGTACAGGTTTTACAGTTGAAAATTGTGGAACGTATCATTGTTTTTACTCGTGGAATCCAGTATTGCGTTCGTACAAGGCGCAACATTAACTGGTTTTCACCGTGTAAAGAGACTTCGTGGATGAATTGCACAATAAAACGTGAGAATCTGCAATTATATGGAAGTATTACGGGATGACGCTCACTATATGCCAGATCAAGAGATGCACCAAGACGACCACCCGTTCTCAGCACATCGTTCTTGTCCAGCAGCGGATTCAGAGGAAGTATTTCACTTTTAGTTTCAATGAATTCTCTAGCTTTTGATTTGGCGATTTCACATCCATAATATTGCTTCTGAGCGAGTTTTATCAGACGTGTAGTCATTATTTTAATTTCGTCGGACGAAATTAAAGAAGAATTCGCCTGAAAAGAAGTTTTTGTATTAGGATGGGTTCTTTGAAAGAATCTTATTATATAAGATATCACCCTCAAAGCTTTTGACAAACTTGAAACGCAAACGCAGGGCCTAACAGGCTAACGGGCTTCGCCCATGTTTAAGCCATTGTTAATGGCCCTGCGTTTGCGTTCACACACACGCACGTGGTGGTGGAGGTGGTTGTGTTATTGGAGATCTTTACCATACGATATTTGAAATGGTTGTTATCAACAAATATTTTGTATATAAATATAAGTTTATAGCAAGTTCAAGTAAATGTCATTCTTAGTCGAACTGGAAAGTAGAGCGTTTAATACAGTGTACGGAAGTTCTATAAAATCAAATTCATATAATTATTCGGTATCAACGTGCTCATATAATTATTCAATAGAAAATGGTGCGAACAATGAAATCATCGAAGGAAGCATTGAGATGCAAAAATCAATTGCAGACCGAGGATATGTTGGAGGATCATTCACGAATGATGATGAGTTCTTCATCGTCCGAGGACGAAAACCAGCCCAAAGTACAAGTTCCCAAAGGACAATATTCAAGCAGCGAAAAAGAGGACAGCGACGACGATTGTCAGGAAATTCCTCCGGGTCAAGAAATTCAAATGAGAAAAGCTGCGACAGTGATAATACTAGAAGGTCAAAAATTATCAGAGGATCCATTGATGCCGTCCTCTCAGGAATTAGTAGTGGAGAAGGAGGATCACGAACAGAAAGTTGGGTGCAACAACAACAGCAACAACAACAAGGCAATCTTGTTAATAGATTTAATAGAGTTAATATGGACTTCGATGTTTTTGAAAATAATTATGGATGTATTAATGAAAGTGGAAAGAATTTATGTAAAAGAAAGAAATTTAGAAATGAAACGTCAAGTAATAATAATACAGAAATTGATGTTGAGTATATTAAAGAAAGTGAAAATGAATTCGACCGAATCAAAGAAGTTTTCGTTCAAGGCTTTCGCAAACTTGTGCCAAAAAGAAGAATTATACATGAAATTTATGAAAAAGCCTTTACCGAGCATTCTGGTAGAGAAGATTATTCAGATTTACGAGAGAAACATCGAGGAGCCGTGTTCATCGTTTGCAATCACGAAGAACAGTATTATGTCATCCACGATTGCACCTACCACAACTACTCATGCCGTTGTTCCATCATTGAACGATGGAAGGCAAGAGAAAGTGTTGGGCGAAGATTTTCTAGACGAACTTCTCCCAGTATCGAGTACTCCATCGAACATTGGGTCAATCTCGCAATCTATTGCGAGAGGGACTCAAGACAAATTTGTACAATGGACATCGCCGGGCGAAACTGGATTCCATGTCATAAAACTCGATGTTTACAATTTTTCCAAGATTGTAAAATTGGAAAAAAAAAATTGGTGGAAGGAAGCCGAAGTGCGGACAACCTTCTTAACGAGTTCTCCACTCGATCCGAATTACATTGCAATTCAAAAAATTCTAAAGAATGCGGCGAAACAAATAGTCAATATAGAGGGGACGAAAATTGGAAAAGCCGAAAAACTTTTATTATGGCTCAAAAAATATGCAATAAGTCCCCTCTCACATATATACTCAACATCAATTTGGTTAAATTCGAAATGGAAATTTTTCAATAGAATTAGTCCTTTAATGTTAAACATTATGAAAATCCATGGTTCATTTTATAATGATCTAAGTATTGCTGAATTATATACGCATTTTTCACAATTAGATCCGCAAAATTTAATATTTAATGCTTCACATTGTAATATACATAAATATTATTATTCTTTGGAAAAATCTATAGAAATATTAGATAATTTAGTATCTTTTCAATTTAATAATAATGAGAAAAAAATTTATGAATTTTATTATGTATTATTCAATGTTCTAGATAAGAAAATACCGAAAAAAAATAGTATATTCATATTATCACCGCCAAATTCCGGTAAGAATTATTTTTTTGATGCAGTAGTACATTATTGCATAAATTACGGACAAATGGGCAATTTCAATAGATATTGCACATTTCCACTAATGGAATGCGTCGATAAACGCATAATATTATGGAATGAACCGATGATGGAGCCATCTGCTTCAGAGACATTAAAATGTATACTTAGCGGTGATACGTGCAATGCAAAGATCAAATATCAAGGAGATGCAGTCATTATGCGAACTCCAGTTATTATATTATCAAACAACGACATATTTCCTAAGAGTGAAGCTTTTCGATCAAGAATATTTCAGTTTAACTGGCGACCAGCATCATATTTAAGAAAATATAAAAAAAAACCAAATCCATTATCTATATATTTTTTATATCAAAAATATATTTTAAATAAAAATTATTAATAAATATATTTATTTTTTTTTTTGTGGTGGATATACAATTTCATACTCAGTAAGTGGGTCGTTCTTAAAAAACATGACCATTCTGAATTTTGTAATTTTTAAAAATTAAGTTGGCCAAATATGTTTATAATTGGCCTCATGTGGTTACGGATGGTATCAACAATAGGAATCCATAACCAACAGTATTTTTTTTAATTTTTGGAGTTTTTGGAGTTAATAAGTCACAGAGTGGACCGGTAACAGAGGGGACAAATTAACTCAAAAATACAATATTTTAGCTTTTTATTCGAATTTTGGAGAATTTATTTGTCCACTTAATTAATGTACATAAAATATTTATAAAAAAATTATAAAATAAATAAAAAATCACTTTACTCACCGTTTTTCAACAGTAACAGAGTTGACACTGAATAAGGGTACGTACCCGGCATACAATTGGGTTCCTTACTCAACAACGCACTAAACAAGACTGAACAGTTCAAAACACATTTTGTTGATTTTAGCTAAGTTATGATGGAGAAGCATAAGAGAAATATACGCGTCATAACGTTTAACAAACATTTTTCAATAAAATGAGTGGACGTAACAGAGGGGACCAAAACCTGGGGACACAAATTTTCTTCATAAAAATTATACAAAAAAATTATTTTTCATCATTCTTTTCTATATATGGTATTAATATACACAAACTGAATAACAAAAATTGTAAATATTATTTTTTTTCAATTTTATTTCAACTGAAAATAACTATTAAATTTTTATAAATTGGCTCGGGACACAGGTTTTTGCTAAACCTTTGACATTGAAAATATTTTTTAAGTTATTTTCAGATAATTAATTATTTTTTTTTTATAATATAGTTACGTAGAATCGATAATAATTTATAAAAATGCAGATATTTTTCTATTTTCTTTTATAAAATAGTAAAGTCTGGGGACACCAATTGGTCATGTTTTTTAAGAACGACCCAAGTACATCTTGCATATTAGTTATATTACCAGTTGGTAAAACACTGCTTCCAAATAGAGTTTTACCATCTGTATATTTATAATCGGAAGTTTCCTTGAATAGAACCTCTCTTGGCCAGCTAATTTGTTCGCCTTTCGTCATAGCAGAATGCGAATTAGTTGAAATTGTTATGCCGCAATCGACTTTCCAATAACAACATGAATTTAAAAAAATTTTATCTTCATTCGATGGATTCAATTGCGGAGTAGCACACAGTCCCACATGAACTTGAGGTTGCGCATAATAAGGTGTAGTTCCTGTATATATATTAAAACAACCGTAAATTTCCAATTGTCTTAAATAGGCGTTTGCAATCATATTATTTAATGGTGAGACTTCGCCACGTTTTCCTTTAAATCCAACTTGACCTTTAGCGGGACCATCACCTAAATGATAGAATTCCAATTTATTTTTGGATCCTCGCGTATGATGCGTACAATAAACATCAGATCTGCGATTATGGGGAATTATATGATATTTTGCGTTCATAACATAACCATTCTTTACATCATATTTATAATCGATTACCGGTTGATTGATTAGTCCATTTACCAAAAATTTGTTAATTTTATTATCAAAATTAACAACGCCATGTGTATTAACTTGATATTGCGGATATTTTTCAGGATCAGGATTTGCATCTTTATTTCTGTGAATTGTAAAATATTCAGAAATTGATCGAGGAACTCCCATTGCGCAACATGCATCATCTTCATAAAATTTTCGAACAATTTTCGATGCAGACATTTGTTTAATCGACGTTGGTATCATTGGTTTTGTACTCTCTCCAGATAATTCAACATTCTGTCCATAGAAATCCAAATTTAAACCAATACCGGTCATACCAATCGGTACATATTCCGAAGTAGCTGTACCGGACAAAGTTGTACCAGTATCAAATGCTGTACGTGTTCCTAATGGATATACTTTACACCATACCGATTCGATTTTTGATGCAAATGGTAAATTAGCAAATTCTGCTTGACTAATATAAAAAGGTAAAAAATCAACCGGAATTAAAGCCATAGATGTTGAAAATATATCAATGGTTTTTTCTGTATTTTCCAATCGCTCTGTTGCCAAACCATAACTATACATTATGCGAGATTTTTTAAATTCTAAGTTAGAGACACGTTTAGGAACTGATCGTGATAACCATGGAGAGGAATTATTTCCTCCATTTCCGCTTGACGATGCCCCCAACGACGGTGCCGTAGCCTCCCCACGAGCGCCCGTATTCGGTCCTCTCCCACTACCAGCTTGTGATATATCCATACTCGATGCTTCAGGCAAATCGGCCAAATCAGCGCTATTAAGACTATTACCAATATTATCAAGGAAATTATCCCAATCGAAATCGTCGTCTCTATCTTCAAAATCAACGGGCGTACTGGATCTGGGGTCGTGGGATCCGGATCCGGGGTCGGTACTTGGTAAATCTGTTGTTGGTTCTTCTGTTGGCGGATTTTTTGATCCAGATGGTATATCATCAAGTATATAAGTTTTTATTCGTTTATAAGCCGAACCACCGGTACTATAATCTTTTATTATTTCTTTATATTCTTCACTTTTATAAAATTCTTGTAAAGATTTATACTTTCCAGTCGATTTTAATTCATTAAATTTTCGATGAACTTGTCTTTGTCTTTCACCATATAACAACTGTCCCAAATTTCTCTTTTTGCCACGCTGTTTATTCATATTTCCTCCTCCATATAAAACACCAGTAATTGATTCAATTCCATATTTTGCAATCAATCCAAATTTTCCCAATATTCTTCCAAAATCAAATGGATTTTCAATTTTATGAAATTGTCGAATTGCTTCCAAATCTGCCTCCCTAATATCTTTACCGCATTTTGCTAATGCGTAATCTATGTCGTGTATTTGCGCTATTAAATCAACTTCATTAATCGGAACACCCTTATTTAATTTATTTCCCGGACCTAAGTATTTGTAACCTCCAATAACACAACCACCTCCACTACCACGTGCGTGTGTGTGAACGCAAACGCAGGGCCATTAACAATGGCTTAAACATGGGCGAAGCCCGTTAGCCTGTTATATAAGTTATATAAGATATCACCCTCAAAGCTTTTGACAAACTTGAAAAACGTTCAAGAATATCACTGGTACTATTGGTCGTTGTTGTTGTAAGAGCGTGCACCCGTTTTTCCTCAATATCGGTAGTGAAGTCTGTTTCTTGCCTTGGCCAATTTTCTCTATTTTCTTGAAGCCAAGAAGGTCCCTTCCACCACAACGAATTTTTGACTAGGTCTTGCGCTATTACACCTCTACTTGCCAAGTCTGCTGGATTTGTAGCTGAGTCGACGTGCAACCAGTTTGAATTTCCTACCTTATCTATTATTTTCGTAACTCGATGGGCAACAAAGGTTGACCACGAACAAGGGGGCTTTCGTACCCATGCTAGAACAATTGTCGAATCGGTCCAAAGATTTATGTTAAGATGACCTAATTCAAGGTTATTGGTAATCGATTCGACTATTTCTGCTAGTAATACCGCCCCGCAAAGTTCCAGTCTAGGTAATGAAATGGTTTTCACTGGAGCTACTTTAGTTTTCGCTAACAACAGGTTGACTAGTATTTTGTTTTCTGTTTCCACGCGTAGATAAACTGCGGCCGCATATGCTTTCTCGGAAGCATCGCAGAATCCGTGGATTTCCACCTTCTCCTTTGGTGAAAAAGATACCCAGCGGGGTATCCTTATGTTGTCGATTTCGCCGTAATTTTTTGTAAAATTTCTAAAGTTATAGAAGAAACTTCCTCGTCCCAGTCGGTACCCTCTAACCATATATTTTGCATTAGTATTTTTGCTACAATTATTATGGGGGCTAACCAACCTAATGGGTCGAAGAGTTTAGCAATAGCTGACAAGATTACTCTCTTTGTTGGGTTCACGTTATCTTCTATCGATTTAGCTATAAAGTAGAATTGGGCGGAATGAGCATTCCACCTTATGCCCAGTGCTTTAACGCTACTAGTATCTTCAAACTCTAGGAAATCCTCATTCAGTAGATCTTGTTTTGGTATACCTTGCAAGATTTTGTTACTATTTGAAGTCCATTTTCTCAGAGGAAAACCGGCTGACTTAAGGACTGCTGAAATCTCATCCCTAGCTTTGATTGCAGAGTCTAACGTATGTCCTCCAGCTAGAACGTCGTCGACATACATATTTTTTGGTAAAATATTTGAGGCTGTAGAGTAGAGATTTTCAGAGTCTTCAGCGAGTTGAAGCAATGTCCTTATGGCAAGATAAGGAAGACAGTTTATACCGAATGTAACCGTCTTTAATTCGTAAAGACCTATTGCATCATTTGAACATTTGCGAAAAATTATCCTCTGATACTTTGTTTGGGTTTCATCTACAAGGATTTGCCTGTACATCTTCTCAATATCGCTATTGAAGACGTACTTGAAAAGTCGCCAGCGAAGAATTAAAATTGGTAGATCAGATTGGAGCACTGGTCCTGGTAGGAGAATAACGTTCAAACTGACCCCATTGGCGGAGGAGGACGAAGCATTAAACACAACCCTAACTTTCGTTGATGTACTTTCCTCTTTTTGACCACATGATGTGGTAGATAATAGTTATCAGCCGCATCTGGTGACTGAGGTTCATTGATTTTAAGCATATGACCCATTGTCTCGTACTCCACTACAACTCGGTTGTATTCCGTTTGAAGATCTGGATTTTTCGTAAGTCTTGTCTCATTCCTGTAAAATTGCGAGCACGCTCTTCTCAGTGAGGCCCCAATTGGATCTCAGATGGGTATTCAGCCTTGAATGGAAGTGACACGATGTACCTTCCATCCGTTCCGTTTTGTTGTACGGTTATACAGCAAGAAACAGACTTCACTACCGATATTGAAGAAAAACGGGTGGATGCTCTAACAATAACAACGACCAATAGTACCAGTGATATTCTTGAACGTTTTTCAAGTTTGTCAAAAGCTTTGAGGGTGATATCTTATATAATAAGATTCTTTCAAAGAACCCATCCTAATACAAAAACTTCTTTTCAGGCGAATTCTTCTTTAATTTCGTCCGACGAAATTAAAATAATGACTACACGTCTGATAAAACTCGCTCAGAAGCAATATTATGGATGTTAATTAAAAGCTAGAGAATCCATGGTCCTCCGTCGACGTGAGCTAATCTGATTAATTTAATAAAGGGAAACCTGAACGACAGCGCCAATCCACTTTGTTTGAGGATCACCATTTTTACCGGAGTCACTTTGCCAAGCACTATTCAACAGGAGCAGTTTTAAACACGGCCGCTACAAATTTACATCAATTCAGCATCAATTTCTTACCAAACAGCAGTTTTCATAGTAAAAAGGTACGTGGTTAAAATATCACAGCACTTGTTTTTTTTTGGTGTGAATAATTAAATTTAAAAATATATAATACTAAAAAGAAAGAAATAGTGAATACACAAAAAGTTACAGTCCACTAAAAGTTCTGTCTGTCCGCAAGCAGGCACAGTAACCTCAATTAGTAAAAGCGCGCGAAAATTCATTTTGCATTTTAAGTTTCTGCAAGATAAAATAATATTCCCAACCGAATTAAAATCACATTTTTCAATTTGGAGTTTTAAATTAATTCACGGGAATTTACACATTTTCGGTTTTTTCTGAGTTCCGGATAAGTGGCACAAGTGTATTAACATACATACATACACATATCAAATTCGCATGGTAGCAGAGGCTTAACCTCAAAAAGTGTCATTTTCGTCTTTTCGCCTTTTTCACAAAATCACTCACTAAGCATTAATTTAATATTGATTTTATTAAAAAACGATATTTGTATCCTAAAAACATACGTGTTATAAAAAACTATACACATACCACAATTTAATTATCGGGTGGCGACCAATACTTAAAGCAACCACAAGAGACATATGTACATACACACGCACATATATTATTAAATAAAACGTTTGTGCATACATATATGTACATACATACATAGATATTGAGTACCATAAAGTTTGGGATTTTTTCATTTACTAAGTTGTGGAGCTTAGGAGGCAAATTTTGT